CGGGGGCCCATGGGGGCTGCTGGGGGGCCACCCCAGGCCAGGCCGGATGGCCCCCAGTGCCCCGGACCCCGCCCTCTGTGTCGCTGCCACCTGACTCCCTGTCCCCGAAGCGGTTGGCGGTGTGGTCGCTGGCCCCGTCCTCGCTGGACTCGGCGATGGTGGAGTGGAACAGGGAGGCGCACTCGGCCGAGCGCTCGGAGCCGCCAGACTCGCTCCTGGCCTGGGGGTCCCGGCGGGGCGGCCTGGGCCTGGCCCGGGTGCTCACAGACCTCGGTCCACCCCCTCTCCTGGTGGCCAGCCTTGGGGGCCCCAGACCAGGGCCCTGGGCACTGGCCCGGGCTGAGATCTCCACGGAGGACTGCCATCTGCGTTGCCTCCGCCGGGCCTCCCCGCCCTCGGCCAAGGCGGGGGCTGCTTCTGAGGGGAACAGGGCCTGGACAGACGCCCTGTGACCTTCCCGGCGGGCCACCAGCAGGGGGACAAGGAAGGGCACGGGGTAGAGGCTGGACTCAGAGCAGGAGCGGCTGGGAGCCTCCCTGGCCTGGGGGGGCCTCCTCCTGAGTCCAGCACCCCATGCGGGGGGCAGCCGGGGGGCTATGAGGGCGCCCCAGGGTGGGGGCTGCCTCCCCAACCTTGGTGCCTTGTCGCTGGTCCCCCTCCCGATCTTCACTGCCTTTGTCGTGGGGTGGCCCCTTCTCTGGCCCATTGGGGCAGCTCTGCTGGCAACAGAGTGGGGGTGGACACAGGGCCCTGGGCCCATCCTGGTGGGTGACCTGGCTTTGCCCTCCCAGCTGGCAGGAGTGGCCTGCGGAGCCTGGGACTCAATGCCCATCTGAGGGGAGCCCAGAATGGTCCCCGAACAGGCGCAGCTACTGAAAGGCTTCTGTCCCTCCTCTGGCAGGCTGCTGGGGGGTGGGGGACTCACAAGGGGTGCAGGTCCCCGCTGTGGGAGGCTGTCCCCACCCGTGGCCCTTCTCTGAGCCCCACCTCCTATGTTTGTTCTTCTTGGGGGGCAGTTCAGCCCCTCTGGGTGACTCTCAGTCTCTGCTCTCTGGGATGTGGACACCTCACATCCAGGGGGTCCCTGCTCACCCACACTGCCTCTTGGGGGGTTCCCTTGGCCCCGAAGTCCAAGCAGCCTGTCTATATAGGCCTGGGCTGGGCCAGGCTCAAGGGTCGGTCCAGTCGGGGTTGAGCTTGGACCTGAAGGGCTAGGAAGGGACTTGCTCAGGGGCGGCGGGTGGCTGTCCCTCTGTGCAGCCTCCTTGGGCAGAGCAAAGAGGGGGCTCTGTAAAGCCACCGCATGCAGGGGGCTGGGGTACAGGTACACCTCCCGGCCACCCCTGGACACCAGGTCACGCTGGTATTTGGGGTCCAGCACGTGGGGTGGGAGGCCCATCCCATGGCAGAGAAGGGACACAGCCGTGGACGTGGTGTCTGCGCTGGCCACCGGGAGGCCCACCTCAGCCGGTAGGACTCTTTCAAGGTCACCTGGGCACGAGAAAAATGAAGGGGTGCAGGAATAAGGGAAGCGGCAACTCGGTCTTGTTCCATTTCACAGCCACATCCCCACGTGAAGGTCTGCTCCTCCAGGGGCCCCCCATCCCCCCATGGGTGTGGCCGCCTGGACGCCCGCGACCGTGGAAGGACATGGCATCGGGGAGGCCCTGCGTGCACACGGCCCCCTCACTGGTCCCAGCCCTTCCTCTCACAGGGACAGCCTAGAAGATAAACCCTAGACTCCAAATGTGTGGGCTTGGATCCGGGGACGCCCAGAAAGGCAGACCTTCCCTGAGGACAAGGGGAACTGTGGGGATGCTGGCCCAGGAAAGACCGAACGGTTTCACTGAACAGGGTCTCGTGCCGGAAATAAAAGGCACGGGGACAGTGCTGCCTTTAGGAACAGCCTGGAGGACGACAAAGCTCCTTCCCTGGCCCAGCGAGGGCCCGGGTGTGACCTGGGTGCTCCAGGCCCACAGCCAACACGGTTCCCACGTCCCTGAGTGCGGACGCCAGGCAGGCTGTGTGAGGGTTTGGGAAGGATATTTTTTGAAACTTTCTGATATTCATTTTAAGTAAGAAAAAATGCTTTTTATTACAACAGCCCTGCTCTAATGAGCGAAAGTGGGCGTTTGACTCCTACCTCCACCCAGAACCCCAAACACCTACGGGGCGTGTGGGCTGTGCCTGCCAGGCGGGCGCCGCACCCCTCAGGCTCCCTGCTGTGCTCAGCACCTCACTGCCTGGGTAGGACTCGGGTGGGGTCCTCGCCCACCGCTGTCCCCCCGGCGGGGATGGGGCCTCCCGCCCTGCCCGGCTCTTACCTGTGGACACTGGCCGCGGCCGGGCCGTGCCTCGCAGTGGCTGGTCTGTGCCATCCTCAGGGGCCGGGAGTCCCCACGTGGGCAGGGGGGCCCCACACATGGTGGTTTCATCGGCGGACCAGGGCCGGCAGTCCCCTGCGCTGGTCCTGGCCTTGGGGTTGGTGGTCAGCAAAGTGCCCAGGGAGGAGGACAGGCGGTCGCTGCACACGGACGTGCAGGAGGTGGACAGGGAGCAGGAGCCTCCGTCGCTCAGCTCGTAGAAGCCTGGGCGGGTGGACAGAGGCGGTCAGTGCGGGCGTGTGCTTGGCGTGTGAGTGTGTGTGTATCTGTGTGGTGTGTATATGGGCAGGCGTGCTGTTCATGTGTGTCTGAGTGCATTTATGTGTGCGAGTGCGCACACGTGTGTGTGTGTGTGGGGTGTACATATAGGTGTATATGGTGTGAGTGTGTACATGTGCGACGTGTATGGTGTATGTATATGTGCATACATGTGGCATGTATGTNCCTGGAGGACGACAAAGCTCCTTCCCTGGCCCAGCGAGGGCCCGGGTGTGACCTGGGTGCTCCAGGCCCACAGCCAACACGGTTCCCACGTCCCTGAGTGCGGACGCCAGGCAGGCTGTGTGAGGGTTTGGGAAGGATATTTTTTGAAACTTTCTGATATTCATTTTAAGTAAGAAAAAATGCTTTTTATTACAACAGCCCTGCTCTAATGAGCGAAAGTGGGCGTTTGACTCCTACCTCCACCCAGAACCCCAAACACCTACGGGGCGTGTGGGCTGTGCCTGCCAGGCGGGCGCCGCACCCCTCAGGCTCCCTGCTGTGCTCAGCACCTCACTGCCTGGGTAGGACTCGGGTGGGGTCCTCGCCCACCGCTGTCCCCCCGGCGGGGATGGGGCCTCCCGCCCTGCCCGGCTCTTACCTGTGGACACTGGCCGCGGCCGGGCCGTGCCTCGCAGTGGCTGGTCTGTGCCATCCTCAGGGGCCGGGAGTCCCCACGTGGGCAGGGGGGCCCCACACATGGTGGTTTCATCGGCGGACCAGGGCCGGCAGTCCCCTGCGCTGGTCCTGGCCTTGGGGTTGGTGGTCAGCAAAGTGCCCAGGGAGGAGGACAGGCGGTCGCTGCACACGGACGTGCAGGAGGTGGACAGGGAGCAGGAGCCTCCGTCGCTCAGCTCGTAGAAGCCTGGGCGAGTGGACAGAGGTGGTCAGTGCGGGCGTGTGCTTGGCGTGTGAGTGTGTGTGTATCTGTGTGGTGTGTATATGGGCAGGCGTGCTGTTCATGTGTGTCTGAGTGCATTTATGTGTGCGAGTGCGCACACGTGTGTGTGTGTGTGGGGTGTACATATAGGTGTATATGGTGTGAGTGTGTACATGTGCGACGTGTATGGTGTATGTATATGTGCATACATGTGGCATGTATGTGTGCGCATGCGTGTACGTGTTTGTACATGTGGACATGTGTGCATATCCATGTGGTATACATGCGTGAGTGTGTGTCTCTGTGTGGCGTGTACCCGAGCTGGGCCGGCTGTCACTGTCCAGGCCCTCAGAGGATGTCCTGAGCACGTCCAGCTGCAGTTCACTGATCTGCTGGTCCAGTTGGTCCAAGTGGGTTTTCAGGCCGACGTCCTGGCGTCGTAACCGGTTCTGGGAAGGGAAAGAGCACAGATGCTGGGACTCCATGTGCCACTTCCACTGTGCACACAGTTTAAACCCCGCGGCCCCACGGGGGACAGCTTCTCCTCGCCCCCGAGAAGCAATCGGACTCCGCTGGGAGGAAGGAAAGCCTGCTGGCCTCTCCCACCTCCAGCAGGCTTCCTCCCTAGTGCAGACTTCTTGTCCGCAACTTTCACCTGGACACTCTCCATGAGGACACAGTGATGCCGCGATGAGTGAGATCAGGATCAGGCGGCACAGAACTCCCCCCGGCAGGCACCGCACGCGGTATTCCCATCTGCTGTTTTTACTTCTCTGCAAGAATGTTTTTTCCGAGCTCCTGGATGGACCTCGGGTCTGGCACCAGTGTCCTGTGCTCTGCCACACAGCCGTCCCCAGGACATGGCACCTGGAGAGCTGGCCGTTGACTTTTCAAGGGGATGGAACGTCCCCAGGAGAGAGAACAGGTCCCCTTTCTGCATAGTCTAACCCCATACTGGACGGTCACAGGCTTGTAGGCTCTGGCGGGGGGCCTGCAAGACAGGAGGGGGCCAGCTCTGCCTGTAATAAGGCAGCTTGAAAACCTGCCTGAGACCTTCCAGCTCAGCGGCTCCCAGCTCGCTCTGCCCTGGAGGCTCTGCATCTCCCGGCCTCGGCTTCCCCGCTCTGCACTGGGTGGGTCGCTGTGGGTATCAACCACACATGTATGTATATTATATAGAATATGCATAGCATGTAAATGTGTGTATTCTATAATACACATATAACGTACGCATGTGGTTAGTGCTATTGCACATATACATACGTGCACACACATCAGTAAGTGCACGGGAGCTACTTGTCCTGAGTGTTGACTAAACGCCAATTTCCTTCTTTCAATTATAAAACATCACAGTTTTCAAGGCCCGCCAAGTATGCTTCTTGTTTTGATTAACAGTTAAGTTTAAGGGAAATAATTAATGAATGTAATTATGTGGTTCGTCCTGATTAAGAAAATGATTAATTGTGCTTCAGTTCTGTCTAGGAAATGAGGGAACCCCCGAGCCCAAATTACAGGCTCAGGAAATTGCTCCAGGGATCTCACTGCTGGGAGAAGGCGGCCATGCTCGCCCCGTTCAGAGGACTAGGTGGGCAGCACCCGACACTCGAGGCCATCGCCCCCGAGTCCACTGTCCTCGGGACCCGACTCCGAGAGGGAAGGCCGCTGCCTGTTGGCTTTGTGCCGGTCAGCACACGGGCGGCCCGGCCTTCTCAGTCCCGCAGGCAGATTCCGAGGACAAAGGCGGGAAATGCCCCAACGTTCGGGATCTAAGACACCTCCAGCTTTCCTTGAAAGCTGAGAATCTGAAAAGGAAACATTTCACGCCTGAGCTCCTGCAGGTGGGTACACGTCATTTTCTCACTTGTCTGGGGGTCACAGGTTAGCCTTGCGGATAATAAACAGGAGAGACCCCCACACAGAAGCCCTCAGGGCCCCTCCGCTGGCTGCCTGGCCCTCGCTGTGACCTTGAGCCCTCCCTGTGACCTTGAGCTCACTCCTTCCCTGAGGGTCCAGGAAGCAAGCTCATCGTCCCCGGAAAATCGGGGCGTGACATCTACAGCTGCAGCCCGACCCGCAGCGGGTCCTGCCCCATGTGTTGTGCAACTAACTGCCCCTGGTGCTCTTAGGACAAGTCACGACCAGCAAAGTCAACTACCGGGGAATTCCTCAGGGTGAGATCTCACCGCAGGCCCCAGTCTGGTTTCATCTCCCGCCTCCCGGTGGGAGATGGAACCTCGGACTCCGGGGCATCCCAGTCTTTCCACATCGGGAACGGGGTGGCAGCCACCTCCGGGGGCTGACAAATCTCCCTGAGCCTAAGCAGGTGAGCACAGGCTGCCCCGACCGGGGTGGCTGCTTGGGTCGGAGGTCATGGCTTCAGGAGCTCAGACACCTACCACAGGGGACTGGTAAATACCGAAACCTCTGTGTTAAAATCACAGTCTCTCACTGCCCAGCCACACGGGGGAGGCACCCTCTGCGACTCTTGTGATTTCAGACGCAGTCACTGGGTGCGGGAAGGTGCCGTAAGCCGGTCCCAACCCCAGGAGCCTTCAGCTCGTTCTTTCCCGGGAAACCCCGTGGGATAAAGGGGCTGTGGTCAGATAACCCTCTTCCTGCCTTCACA